GATGGAACACAAGACGAAGTACACAAAGTTATTCAGTTATGTACGTAGTTACTGGCAGGACTTAGTGTAACCCAGAGATTGGGAAACTGTCGCCCGCTGAGTGTTAACGCGACTAAATATGAAATCGGTGACTTTTAATAACGCTGATGATATAATATGGCAGCAATGACACTAGTTAAAACTGTCATAAGAATAATATGTGTAATGCTATAAATAATACTTAAAGTATGGAAGGAGGTCGAGTGTAGAGGATATATTGTGGTGCAGAATGTATGGTGGTGGTGGCGTTGATAGTGGCGGTGGTGGTGGGCGGACCTACAAGCCTCAGTGGCTGCTGTTTCAGGCTGCTGTGCTCCTCCTCATTGTTTTCCGATGCATACTTTTGTATTTTCCGATGCATAATTCTGCATAAATGTTTGCGTTTCACGTTGCCCCGTGAATGGTCACTGGACGTGTTTAATTTTAGTGGCAAACATTTTGGGCCTGAGCCATATTGTGTCTAACGTATAGATAAACAGCAATATAGTTATCCACATATTTATTCAGTCATATTTAAAAAAATATCTCTTTTCTTCATGAGACCAAGACAAAGTGAAACACAAAAGCATAAAAATTCATTTGTCATATTAAGTTTCTGATGCTATTGTATTTCATTTATATTTGAGGTCTGAGATGACAAGAAGAGATTATCCTCGAAACGTTACCCAATAAATATGCTGCTGTTATTCATCATATTAAAAGACTGCCAGAGTTTATTTCAGTTCATCGTAATGACATTGAAACATTTAGTGACTTCAATTCCATCATAGAGAAAAGTTTCTGTAAAGATGGCAGATCCACTTTACCAATGATCTCTACATTTTTTTTTATTTACATCATCATCATCTTTGAAACTTTCTCCAGGAAAACTGCCGGCAAGCACTTCGTCCAGCACAACGTTCTCCAGAGGGAAAAAATCAGGGCACACGAATTTCTCCAAAAATTTCAAGGATCCTTCCTTCCTTCAGGCGCCACATATCAAATTTATGAGCGAGCAGAATCTTCCAAGTGAACCCACCGCTGCTAATTTATCAACCTCACGCCTTCTCAAGACACACTCAGCGAAGGAGGAGGAAAATCGATCCTGGATGTTGGCACGTATTCGTTTTATACTCATGTGATCACAACTGGGGATTCTGTCATCAAAAGGTCCCGGACGCGCTAGACAAGAGATGATTTATTACTTCAGACGAAATAAAACCGATATGGACAGACACCTGATAAACCACAGAGTTTTGCTAATGGTGTTTATTATGAAGTGTGGTCGTGTTTTATCTTTCACTTTATATACCATGACCCCCGTCTGACTCGAGCGTATGAGTGGGTCGTTTGTAGTTCTATTTTTGTTAATTAAAGAATGAAAAAGACTGTATAAAACCGAATGAAAATTACAGCAGGAAATATAAGCACTTAAAGTACTAGCTAGCATCACTATCCCTCCTCCTGACACACACACACACACACACACTCCCTGGATGGAAAACAAGATACTGTACGTGCTCCCATTACTGAGGACGATTCTTTTGCTGGTCATAGTGGCAGCTAGTTCCCTTAATGTTTTCTGGTAACTGTTTTAAAGACGAAAAATGGAGTTCGGTGCTTAATGACAGTGGGTGTTGATGCACGTACAACATCTTGCTTTATGAAACAAATTTATTGTATTATTGAAGATTGAGTGTTCTTTTTTAAATGACGTAATCAGCATATATTCTGATTTTAAAAATTATCTCCTGTATTAATTACTGTAATACTACCAAATCTGCTGAGCATCACCTTCGAACACCCCACTCCACTATTTGTCTGTCTGCTGTAGAGGATTCTTCTAAAGGTTCAATATCACAAAGCCGAAATAAGAGTTTATTGGCGATTTCATTGATTAAGGGAAGCGAAAAATGAACAACATAAAAACAATTATATAAAGACTTTTTCTAGTTGCTCAGAGGAAACTGCTGGGGGAACTTTTGTAAACGTAACCCGACAGTTGGTACCTCCGTCTTCGCTTCCTCTACCTCTCACACCTCCCACCACTTACCCTTTGTCCTGTTCCCTCGCAGTTCCTCTGTTCCTGGCAAGTATTTCTCTTTCTCTCTCTCTCTCATTCTTACCTCTTCACCTAGTCTCTCACCCGTCACATCTCTCTTAACTTTTCTCAAACACTTTTCAAACTTCATTCTCTTTGCTCGCCTCATCCAGACCCATCACGTTCGCTGCTCCCACTCCTGAATGTAAACAATATTTTAGTGGCCAGAAGCAAACGTTGCCTCACCTCCTTAGAGATGAAGAAAAGGAGGAATAATTCTATTGGTAACTGAATTGACGACTGGATTAACTTATTCATATATGCAGTGTGTTTTCTCACCAAACAAGGAAGATTCTGCAGTTGCCGAGGCTGGTTCAGTGGACACCTCAGCTCAGGGACTATACTGGTCGCAGTTATATTTGTTGCGGTTTTGGTTCGGCATTTGGACGACCACTCGGTGTTTATATTAAGGCGCATCGGAAATAAGGTGTAAATTAATTGCAAGTCATAAGGTATCCAATTTAATTTATTAGATTAACTTTGATGTTAACAAGGTACTACATTTACTGTATAATAAACCAACACAGGTAATATGGAAACAGAGAAATAAGGTATAATCTTAAAATAGAGAATAATTAAAAAAAAAAGATATTTGGGAGCCAACACACCTTTTTTGTGCCCCTCCTTATATGTTAAGTCGGTGTAGCTCAGAAGTTGGTCACTTTTAAGGTGCTAGATCCACCCCTGATCCTCTCCTCAACCTCAACGCTCACACGTGTTAGGAACAAGGGGAATCACCTGGATAACTCTTCATTTCTTTTTAACTCAATAACTTTCACTCAATATGAGACTAAGTAATGCACCAAGGACAACACACTAATTGAAGCTTGGTTAGCAGGCGAAGAGGATAAAAGTAAAAAAAAACAGAGACGACGTGTGTATTGTGTAATGCTACCTACGAGAACTAGAAGCCATTTCTTGGACCCTTTGTCTCTTAGAAGTTGTGTGGGTTGGATAATTGTCATGCCCCGGTCAGCGAGGGTTGCCAGGTGGGTACACACTGGGTTGACCTCACTACTCTTACTGTATCAATTTATTGTTTTGTTACAGTGTTCTGGCTTCGTTTCTTTATTAATCACCAGGTGAAAAAGCTTGGGTGGCCTTACATTATCTTTTCTAGTTATATTAAATATCATGTACAGTATGCAGGTAACATAGTAAAATATGAGACACAGACAGTCCAAGCGGTTTCGTCTATTCTCGTCTACAGAAAAAGACAGGTGAGAACAAGACAAAACACTAATGAGGTGGTAGCGAGACCTCACTTGACCTGACGGGGTGAGGGTGCAGATGAAGTGACCTCGGGTAGGGCAACCGTTAACACTGTCAGTCAGGTCATATCCCAACTTGATTTTTACCACTATATTGTTAACGATGAAAATTTCTTGTGTTCACCAGTGTTAATGTTAAAAATTAGTTAATTTATTGACAAAATCAGCCGTACATGTTAAAAGATTACTCGAACATTCAGAGATAGATAAATAATGAATGGCAGCGAATAATAGGAGAGTATGTTGTTAATTTCGGTGAATGGTGGGAAAATGCTTCCGAGATTAAACAAACATGTGCTGCCGCTATAATGTTATTACTGTACTTCTACAACAAAGGTGCTTAAGAGTGAAACTAGGTTAGTAATTACACAAGTCCATCAACCATTAAAAGTTATGATAGATACAACTCTCTATTTACAAAGGTTAATTATTATTTTAGCTGCATAAACGTAACTCTAAACTTGATGAAAATTATCGAGGATAATCCGTCTGTCTGTACAAATGTTCTATTGTAATAGAACATTTGGGCAACACTGTGCAATTTAGTTTATGTGGCGACCAAGCCTGTACGAAAACTAAGTGAGTATTAGTCAATTATAATAGTCCATGTGATTTGACACATTTTCTGCGGTCTCCACCCAATATAGTTTTGGAGGAACTAAAAAAGATTTGCCCAACTATCTTTTATTATTATTATTATTATTATAATAATACCACATAATTATCAGCTTACTTGCCGTTCAGGTGGTTGATATATCCAAACTACAGTATTAATACAGGAGGAATACCGGAGTCCTCTTCGCCATTGATCGGCTCGTTAGGCACTAGGGCGGTCTGTTACGCACTGTTGGCAAGTAAAGGGCAGAATGTAACTATATCTGAGTTAAACCATGTACTATCATACTCTTTCTCACTATACTATAATTGATATTGATATAATAGCGCGTCCCGAAACCACCTTTTACAGGCCCCCAGCCGTCATTACCACATCTTCCCTTCCTGCTGTCTGTAGATGACAACTATTTATAGTAACCAACTCCTGTGACCCTTGTTTATTGACGATTTGGTAAATTTCCTGATTAACTCCCCTTGAAGCTTAGAATTTTCCTTTTCCTAATGTTTTTGGTGTGATTCATTTGATTCTAGCTTCCACAAAAAAAGTATTTGTCGGAAATCACTCGTTTCTGCGCAACCTAACCTAATTAAACCTACCCTAACCTAACGGGTGTTATTACGGAAAAATACCGACTAGGGTACCCAGGTAACTAGCCCCTGCCATGCGTGGGGCAAATCTGAAATCTGAATATGATTATTTCATTCGGATAAGAATGTGCAAGTACAAAATTAATATAGATGTAAGATACTGTACAATGGAGTAGCTGAAAGTACACTAGTGTTAAAATAAATATAGTAATTCTTCTATAATGACAGCATCCAGAAATGTATAATGCTTTAAACGTTTCCAATACTTTAACGTTTGTTTTCATAATTCATCGATGTAAACAAAGACAAGGTAAACACACCTTCCTCATGACGTGGTATAGTATTTTCTCTTCACATTTTTACTGTTGAATTAAGGTGATTTTATATTAGTATTACGATATATTGTATGTAGTGTTTTTCAGGGGATAAAAAAAGAACCTCACAGGAATAACTGGAAACACCGATGATATTATTTTGATGTGGGACGAACTAGGGAGAGAAGGACAACCATCTTGATACAGTCATACAGTCACTTACTCTACTGTGTCTGTCTGTGTCTGTCTGTCTGTGTGTGTGAGTCAGCGTTCAGCCTCAGGTGAGTCTCCATGTGTGTGTTTTTATTAACGTATCATTACCTTTTGGCTCCTTAGAACTTAATGAACTTCTTACTCAATTTGCTCTATTGTAGTTGTAAAACCATTAATGTATAAATTTAGAGAGGTCTAAAATTGGATTAAATAGAATAGAGACAACTTAAGAGCATGATACCATATTATTTCATTATCAGGTGTAGTAAAAGCTGTAATAGAGCCAAACAAAAGCTCAATACGGTACTGTACATTAGTCGAAAAGGTAATAAGGCAGTTAACAGCAACCACAGAATTTCTATGATAATTTTCTTATGTTACATTAGGTTAGGTAACACTTTTTTATCAGATTATTTGGTTGCTGTAATCTGCATTTTTACCGTCGAGAATTGTTGATTTAAGTTTGCTATTAAAGGTAAATATGACCCGAGATGTTATAATGTAGTGGATACAGGTAGGCAGCTGTATGCCAAAAATCACATTGGATATAGGTACGGCAGCTGGCCTGTGTTGTTAATGGTATGGTTAGGTTAGGTTAGGTTAGGTTCGGTTCGGTTCATTAGGCTGCCGTGCCAAGAGCAATCAACGTTTCATATACAGTTACCGTAGCTGCATCCTTTGCTATGTTATTAAACACTGGGTAATTTCTGAGAACACTACCACCAGAAGGAGTTGTTCGATTTCATTAATGTTTTCCGCAGATGGTTTTATCATTATAGTAAGTATACTAAGTGTTTTAAGAGGTGAAAACTTTTTATTTTAATTCTACCGAGAATTTTTTTTTTAAATATATCCATGATCATAAATTAACAGTAGTGGGCAAGGCATGAAGGATGAGAGAAATTGCGTGGTAAAACCCAGTAAAAACTGATCATACGACAAAAAAAGATGTCTACGTGTTTTCTATGTGAAGAAATTAATTGTTTTCTACATGAAAAAAAATATTATTTACCGCAAATAATCCTAAAAATCTGCCAGGTCCGTACGTGTTGTCATCTCCTCATTTTGCTTACAACTGATCTGCTTGGTCCGAGCGTACTCTCACGTCTGCAAAAAATTTAAAATTACACCATGATGCTTAAGTAAAGTTGCTTTTATTGGTACCAGATTTCGAAATACCTGTAAGTACTTTCTGTTTAATGTGGCAGGGGTCGGGGTTAGAGGCCCCCCGGCTAAGAAATTAGGTAAGGTTAGGTAGGTTTCTTTGGTTGGTTAGGTCAGGTTCTAATAGGAGATAATAAATGTCGCTGCTTTTAAAATACTTACTATAATGATAAGAACATCTGTGGAAAAAATTAATAAAATCAAACCACTCCTTCTGGTGGTAGTGCTGTTCTCAGACATTACCAAGCACTGAACTATACTGTACTGTACAGGTATGAGACCCATTGTACCGTATGTTTACAGTATTCAGAATTTAAGGCTGTGGATCCAACATAAGAAAAAATCTCAAGAGGACACCGCCATTCTAGATAATTTACAAGATGCCATAAAAGAGTAGGTAATGGTGGAGGAGATGGCCAACACCAGAAGGAGTTTTTAACGCAAATGTTGTTTGGATGTTAGTGAGTTATATAAACTATATGACAAATTTTCCATTAACTATGCAGTATAGAGTTCTGTGCACTGCAACTGTAAATATGTGGCAGTTGTCTGGTAAAATGAGGTGAGATATTATCTTCCGCCATCTTAAAGTGAACTCACAATTCATAGGACATCATTTGAATGATATAAAAAATTTAAACTTTTATTATTGAATGCATTATTTTTATTGAAAGTTGGCACATTTTCCAGAAAACATTGGTAGGATATCACCAAAGCAACATCTTGAGATGCTACACTTCTAAAACTCTGGCCATTTATTCTTCTGGTAAAACAATGGCAGATAAGAAGGTAAGAAGCTAGATTTGATCTAGAATTGGAGATAAGCAGAGTATTTATACATATCAGGGCCTATGCAAGAACCAGTCTAAGAATAGATTAATAGGAGAGGGTAAGAAAGTTTATGACCTCTTGGCTTAATTTAGCCTCTGTCCGGGTATTAATAAGAGGGGCTGTAGAGCACTTAGAGTACTCTACATGTTTCTGTGCTTTTTATTAGAGATTAACCAACAAATGTAATCTAACTTGACTGGCTAGGAACCAAACACTGGCCCCACCTTGTACATAAGAAAATAAGGAGTCTGCAATAGGCCGGTTGGCCTGTGCATGGCAGCTCCTGTCGAGAGTTACTACCACTCTCTATCATCCATGAATCTATCCAACCTCCTTTTGAAACTTTCCAGTGTTCCAGCACTTACTACAAAGTTGCTAAGCTTGTTCCACTCGTCCACCACCCTATTTGTGAACCAGTTCCTTCTTATCTCCCTCCTAAACCTAAACTTATCCAACCTAAATCCGTTGTTCCGAGTCCTATCCTGCTCGGATATTATAAGAACTTTATCTATATCACCTTTATTGATTCCTTTCACCCACTTAAATACTTCTATCATATCTCCCTGCACTCTTCGTCTTTCTAGGGAATGCAAGTTTAGTTTCTTTAACCTATCCTGATATGGAAGGTTTCTAAGTCCCGGAATCATTTTCGTAATTCTTCGCTGCACCGACTCTAGTGAATTGATATCCATTCTATAATAAGGGCACCAGAACTGAACCGCATAATCGAGGTGCGGCCTGACTAGCGCAAGATATAGTTGCAATAAGACCTCTGTACTCTTATTACTTACACTTCTAGATATAAAACCCAATACACTGGACCCGACTTACGACTTATTCTAATCGTCCGGGCTTACAAGTACCCCTAGGTCTCTTTCACAAGTCAACTTCTCTAGGTTGATGTTGTTAAGGCTGTATACATTGACAGTATTTGTTCCTCCAATATTAAGTACGCTGCACTTGCTGGTGTTGAATTTCATTTGCCATTTTTCAGACCACCCCTGCAGTTTATTTAGATCCTCCTGTAATGCATTTGCATCCTGCCCTGAATTAATTTGCCGCCCTATTTTGGTGTCATCCGCAAACTTGCTTATGTCACTGCTGATCCCAGTATCTAGATCGTTTATGTAGATTATGAACAAGAGTGGGCCTAATACTGATCCCTGGGGAACCCCACTGGTTACATTACCCCACTCAGATTTAACACTATCTACGCTGACCCTCTGCGTTCTATCGGTGAGCCATGATTTTATCCAATTTAAAACTTCCCCCTCGATACCATGAGCCTTAATTTTTCTCAGAAGCCTCTGATTTGGTACTCTGTCAAATGCTTTGCTAAAGTCTAAGTAAATAACATCGTAATTTTCGTCATTATCTACTACCTCGAAGACTTTCCTAAAAAACGTCAATAGATTTGTTAGACAAGATTTTCCCTTTGGAAACCCATGGATTTCTATGGGGAAAATTTTTTCATTGTTTGTATAATCATTACATGTATGCATTTTTTAGAACAGGACTTGTGCTAATAATTACTTTCACTCTTGGTATGAACTTCCCATGCTCCAGTTAAGCTTTCCCATTCCCCTTCATTTTTTGATATTGTTGAATTTTTACAGTTATGAATATAGCCAATCATTTTTTGATGAGCAAAACTTTATTCTGCTTTTGGTTGTAGTCTTCTCTTTGGAAATCACTCAAACCTTGCTATCAACAGGATGACCCACGAGACTGCAAAGTCTGCTTCATGAAGTTCGACTCAGAGGCCAGACGTCCACGTGTGTTGGTTTCATGTGGTCATTCCTTTTGCTCTGTATGCATTACCAACTTAATAAAGGACAACAGCACCCTACTGTGTCCTAGCTGTCGAGCAGAACAAGGCCTTACATGTGCAGAGCAACTTCCTGTTAACTTTGGGCTGTTAGAATTGGTGGACTCGGACAAAGATTCCTCCAGTGATTCATTAGTAGCTGACAGGACTTCCTCAACAAATTTTGAATCCACTGGTAAAGTCCCAGTACTTAATGCAGGACATTGTGAAGAACACGGACAATACAAGTTGTTCCGGTGCACCACATGTGCCCAATACATCTGTCATGTGTGTACTGTTGTTGAACATCCAAATAGCACTTGCACAGTCATTTCTGTTAAAAAAGCATTGGAGGACTTGAAAGAGCTTCATAAAGGTGTTATTAGCTCTGAGCTCTCTGATTTGGAGGAAGTGACAGACCATCTTGAGACTTATGATGCATACCTGGCAACTTGGATTGGGGATCATGAAGATCACATATGTCAATTATCAGCAGAATTACAACTTCACAATGACATAATACAGGAGTTGCAAGAAGAAAGGGAAAAAATTAAGGTGGTTCTTGATGATGGACAACATAAAAAAGAGTGTCTCAAGGCTAGCCAAGACCACCTTGAAGCCAGTAACACAGTGCAAGACGTTTCTGATGCTGTTGATGAGACACTACATTGCCAGACAGTCACTAAGTACTGGAACCTTCAGTGTACTGAACAGTTCCCCAAAAAAGCCCTGATTTCCTCATCTTTGAAGGTGAGTACTGTACTAGTGTTAATATTTGGATTTACAGTCGTATTTATATTTATTTTTTAGTTTTTATATAATATACAGTATTTCTGTGTATTTGCCCACTTGTTAAATATGTTTTATTATGATATACAGCAGAAATGATGATGAAGTATAGTACTTGTTTCTTATATAATTTTGTGTTCATTTCTGGAGGTCCCTGTGCAGTACTTTAATCTTTCATCCAATCTAAAGCCTTCTCTATATATTATTGAAATAGTAAATACTGTGCTTCAATTATAATACCCCAATATATAATACAGTACAGTATTGTATTATGTTGGATAATGTTGACACTAGTATTTTCCAAACCAGATGCATGCAGTGACTGCATTTGCTCTAGACATGATGAAGAACTATGATAACGAGAATACTGAAGAAGATAAAGATGAAGACAGAAATATAGACAACAATACAGATGATGATAAAGCCATCAGTGAGCAAGTCTCCTCATTGTCTATTAAAGAAAAATTGATTGAAGTTATGCAGGAGAAGGTTGGTAAACTCTTATAGCAAACTTTTGCTTCCTCAGGGAGAAAGTAATGCAGCTCTCTAGTTTTTCAGGATTTTATTAGCTATGATGGGTTATAAGTTGTAGAAGTATGAGTCTTCCTTGACTCAAACTTGGTGTTGCCAGACTCACAAGTAAAAGGTAGGATAAAGTAATGCTGATTTGTCTTACTTACTGGTATAGTACAGTATCTGTAATAAAAAATACTGTACAGTACTATGTTTTCTAAGGTTGGAAAAAATTGCATATCACAATTAATCCTATCTTGACATGATCTTATTCCCCTCTGAAATCCAGTTTTGAATCCATTTATTTTTTGAAAACTAGATGACCTATAAACGATTGGTGTGTTCAAATTATTATTTTTTTGATCCACTATAAGAACAGACTTCATCCCCAGTGCTTTAGATGAGTGTTAGGGAAATTTTGAAAATGATGATGGGGGAAACTGTAGGCAGTCAGTGCTTAGGGTGATCAGTTATAGATGTCTGCCTCTTATTTGGTGGTCAGTTAGCCATACTTTTAGATCAGTATACAGGAGCACCTTCATATGACTTATAAATAATATTATAAAAATATAACATTTAATTAAAAAAGCATTCCACAAATATGCAGGGAGCTTGGTGGACTTCTCACCTGATGCTACCAACACACTTTCCACTACAGAGCCTTCACCCACACCACTCTTCATTTATTTGCATTCACTCTCATACACCTTTTGATTCCACTCCATCCTTCCAATTCTTACATTTTTTTTACTAACTCTTCGATACTGTATGTTACTACCACTAAGTTAGCAACTCCCAATACAGACAGTCATAATATTTTACAATAAATGTGCTTATGGCACCATGATAACTACAAGGGAGCTCAAGACAGACCCTTGATAGACCCTTACTTTCTCTTCATATTCGTCACTCTCTTCACCATTTACTCTCACAGCAGTCCTTGAACCCCCATACAGTGCCATAACCACACTCTTGGAACCTTGAGTTTCTTATTGCTCTTTATATTACTTCATGCTGTACCCCATCAAATGCCTTCTCTAAATCTACATGAACAATAAACTTCATTGCATTAATGTCCAGTCTTTCCCAGAATCCCATATGAATTATTTTATACTGAATATGTACTTATTGTCTGTTGAATTTAGATATCTCTTAATTAAGAATAATGTTATTTCCAGGGTCTATCTGAATCCAATTCGGGAAATAACACACCGCCGCCCCTTACAATTAATGGTGCAGAAGGAGGGGCACCAGAAGTCCGTGTTGGTGGCAGTGTGGGAGAGGTACCACATCCCCCACTTTCCCGAGCACCACCATTCCCAAATCCAAACTCTTATTGCCCAAGTAAGTCTCTAATTAGGAGTCTTTGCATTTATTGTAGATGCTGGCATTTAATGTATAAAGTGTTTATTTGTTTACAATACCTTGCAAGCAATAATTTTTTTCACAATATATTCTTCTTCCCAGGTGGGTGTATGGGCTGTTTTACTGTCCAGTTTCAAGATAGTCTGGTACAAAGGGTCATACTCTGATACAAAGGCCCATGAAAATTTTTGTCAACTGATGATATACATTTTTGTGCATCATTTTGTTACTCTTTCATTGCCACAACAAAAGAAAATGTATAGATCCCAGTCAACTTTTATAAAGACAAGTATCTAAATAAACTTTTTGAAAAATTTGAAGATTTTACATTTCGGTCAATAAATAAATCACAGTGGAATCTTATTGCTTGCAACAGTGGCTGAACACCATGTTTGTTGTCATACCAAGGTTCAATAACATTGTCTCCTTGCAGAGTATGGGAACTTTCCAGTTGATGTGATTCTTATGAAATTCCAAAGAAACAGTGGAATTTTGATCTAGATTTCATACCTTGATATTATAATCTGTTTAGTACTGTGCATTCAAAATGCATTTTGGTAAGTCCTTAGTGGCATGGAGACACAAGTTTGGAAACTTACAACCAGTTTGTTTGAAACTGGGTTTTAAATTACAGTGGATCCCATTTATGTGTGGCATTATGTCTTCATGGGCAAATAGTTAAAATGGTTAAAAATCCAGGCATTGCCACGACCATTCATTACATTAACATCACTGTTTTACAACCATTTTCCACACTTGTGTGGAATAGCTATGGTTATCTGATGGCTTGGTGTCTCGGTTGCCATCAGGCGAATTTGAAGCAAGTTTTACAGCTGGATACCCTTCCTATTGCCAACACACTTTTTCCTTGTGGGAACTGGTCATATGTAAAGACTTCCATGCACTCTCTTAAGAGTCTTATCTCCCTGAGGTAATCAAAGGTTACCACATGCACCTGCATTCAGCATCAGCATTTTCCGGTAATTTTTTTACATTTGCTTGGGCATGCCATAATTACCAGATGGCATGGCGTCATATTTGCCATTAAGCAAATTTTAAGTAAAATTTACAGCTGTATGTCCATCCTGTAGTCAACCCACTTTTACAGAGTAGGAAGTGGACAATATATGTAGGATTTCTAAACACCATTTTTTTATTATACATTATACTGTACCATATTACAGCCTAATATAGCATCACTTGACTAGTACGCTGAGACAATTCAACAGTCGTCAGATATTATAAGCTTTGCTGTTTCGTAAGTGTACCAATACAGGATAAACCAATGTAAGTGCTCACAATAAGGGAAGATTATCCAAGTGGTCAGCAGTTGTAATAAGGGAAGTTAGGTCAGGCTCTCTGGGTTCAGACAAAATCTTGGGTGGTGTGATGTGGACAGTAACCAATATAATACCATTGCAAGGAAATAACACAGCCTGATTTTTTTTTAATTATCAACATATGGGCTGAGGCTTGTGAGAATATACTGTATAGTTAGATGGGTAGTGAAAATAGATGTAAAATTAGGATTTATGCAAAATCAAGTAGTGTTGCCCATGCTTTAGACAGAGTAAAGGTGGGTAGCCTGGTGATTATGGTGAGGTGACCTGATCGGGATGGTTTAGACTTTAGAGGTTGCCTGGTATTGGTGGTGAGGTAACCTTGTCTTGGTTGTCATGATGCCCAATGAGGGTAGTGCTGATGATCATGGTTGTATTGGTGTCTGTTAATAGCATTGGTGGTGGTTTTATTATTCGCCATCTTTTGTTCACCCATCCACAATCTTTTCAAATTTTTAACTTCTTCAGAACTACTGATTGTGTTATTTAGGTTCAGATTTTGTTTTACATCTTTCATAACTTATCCCTGATAGGTATCAAAGCCCCATATGCATCTTGGATTTTGTTTACTCTGAATGTGCCTGGAGAGTCATATTTCAATCAAATTAGTTGCTGAGATTTATATGAAGATCTTGCACACATTATTGAAAAGCCTCATTTAGTTCAACTTTGCAGGTACATGTACAAGAGTGTTTTAATGTTTTATTAAAACAGGAATATCATCATTGTGGTCAACAGTGTTTTATGGCCTTTTTCCACTTTCAGTGCTACAGTGTGCAAATGTACTATTTAAAGATTTGTTTTAGAGAGAAAAAAGGTTAGTAGTAGATATTTGCCTCTTCTGTCATAAATACACTTTTGTTTTCTTAAGGTGGTCGTCCAGACCTTCACACACAATGGATCAACTACTACCGCAGTTTGGGAATGCATAGAGAAGCCGATTCTTTGGAACAACAAGCTAGAAGCTTAATGGTGAGTAAGTATTATTACAATGGGAAAATGAGGAGGGAAGGGATACGGGGAAATTGATTCGTCTGATCATTTCAGTTGACCAAATACACTGCAGTACAGTACTGTAGAAACACTATTATTATTAGTAGTAGTATTATTATAGGCAATGCCACAAACACAAACCACACAGGTGCTAGACCTATAACCTGTTGTAATACCATATGTCTTCCAATTTATTTTGTGAAGCGTGCCCTCCATTTGTTACATGTATCTGTAGCTTGATTGCCTGTCTTGTTTTTTTTTACGTTGACAAGAAGCCATATTTTTTTGCATCTGTGTACTCATGTTATATTTATAGATTAATGTTGAGGTATATAAGTGATATGAGCAAATACTGCACTATTTTTTTTTTACAAGATTTTCACAAACAACATCCTCCAACATTTAATTTTTTCTTTTATGATTTTGCATTTGAATTGACTGAAGTTTTCTGGTCTGTATGGTGTACCAATATCCTCTGTACTGTATTAAACTTCATTCTCTCAGGTACGATTACTGTACTTTTCTCTTCCTATCGTTTACTTTCAATTTCCTATTATTACACACCCTGTTAAAGTCATTCACCTTTCTCAGTTGCTGCGTCTCCTAAATAGAAACATGTTATCAAGGGCCACACCATGTCATACAACTTAAGTATGGTAATTTTTCCATATACTTGGTGGTAGCATTAAATGATTTAAACTTAAAATGTACAATTCAGTTCATTTAGAACTTTAGCTGTAGATTAAGGGTTGTATTTTTCCAAACGCAGCTGTAGTTTTTGTAACAATATTGACAGGAATAAATTCAAGATAAAATAGGTTATTATTGATGGTGGCTAACCTTGAAGGGATTGTAGGGTCAGGGAAGAGTGAGTGGTCCCGCAGTCATCCCTATTGTAGAAGCAGCAGCAGTAGCACCAGGGAACTATGCTGCTCCCAGACCACCCATTGCTGGTATATGTGACTACTCCCAAAATTGGATTGAGTATTACAATGCACATGGAATGCAACCTGGAGCACAGTATTTGGATCAACAGATTCAGTCAGCCAAGGTTAGTGAGTTGAGGACTTTTACATTTTGTTCTGAGTTAAATGATTTAATGAGCACAAGGTGAGCCAAACTCGAACAAATTCCAAATTGCATATGTGAAAACTTAAGAAAAATTTTTGTGGTAAACAGTAAAATTGATACATAGTATATCATAAAATACAATAGCATATATTTTATATACAAAAAATAGTTCCTGCTACATTCAAACCATCCTCTGGGTGATGCGACATAGTTCAGCCGGGCAGTCGCCCAGCTGATTCAGAGACGTGTGTGGCTGCTGCCGTCCTGCAGTGTATCTATGCCATGACGTCACATCTGGGGGAGAGAGAGAGAGAGAGAGCTTGGCTGTATAGTGAGATGGCGACGCAGTTACAGTCCACTGCCTCCATACATACGTTCACTTCACACACACCTTTGCACTTCATTTTTCATATTTTATAATTTTATGTAATATTTTCCTTATTTCTAAGCCACATTAGAGTAATATACTGTATAATGATTTTTCCACTACTTTTACTGTATATTTTCATTACATGTAACAATGGCAGTGACCTAACAAGAAGTGAGAAAGGGTGTCAAAATTATTTTATCGCTAAACTGAATTAACGTAAATTGAATTAATGCTGAACGGGGGATACCTGTACTCTATATCTTCAATATGGCCAGCAACAAGAACATGTCAAGGAATTTTGAGGTTGGTAGGGGGGGGAGGGTGCAAAACTGTTGAAGTCACAAGGCTGAATTAGACTCTGGTAATTATGGTTGATTAGGTCCCATGAGTCAAAACCCCCTAAATTTGCTACTGATATTAAAAAAATTTAGGATATGGGGTAGCTAAAATAACACTGAGGAATTGGAGCTCTTGAAATTTTTTGACAATGTACAATATGTTTCTTTTCAGAGGGGTGGAGGTGGTCCTGGAACATTCATGCATCAACCTCCCTTTTATGGCAATTATTAGATTTATCAAAACTGGGTACATCCTAAGGGTCAATGGTTTGCACCCAGAACAATCCCCGTTGATATTTGTTGTAATGTGGTACCTAACATTACAGTTGGGGAAGTGAAGGCAGTCTTTCACAGTGCCAGCCATAGTGCCTCCATGTGTCATCAATCAATCTATGTACCGTCCTTATATCTGAGGGTTGGCAACCACAGTTTTCCACTCTTAACGTTCTCAGGCTGTTAGTCCCATACCTTCAAGGTTTTGTATCTCCTTGTGTACCAGAGGTTTAATATTCAGTATGCTATATCTTCACTGCCCCTAATGGTCCATTAGGCTTGTGGGACCAACTTTCAGTCATTTTAATTGTTGTACAGGGAATCATGAGATGATGCCACATTAAGGGCAGTGCACATGCAGTGCAGTAGACAAAATGATAAGCCTCAGATCACAAGTAGGCAATATAGCCAGCATTGCACTTGACCATCTTTACTTCTCCAACTATAGTCTGGTACCCAGTCACAGTTGAGTGGACTGGGGATACCCCAGGTGCAAACCAACACACCTGAGGGCAGGCCAATGTACCTGAGTAATGACTTCAAGACAACCAAAAACTTAATATATTTACCACAGGCGACCTGTGGTGTAATGGTCAGCATGCTCGTCTCACAAGTGAATGGTCCCAGGTTTGATTCCTGGGCAGAGTGAAACTATGGGCAAGTTTCTTTATGCCATGCCTCTGTCTACCCAGCAGTAATTGGGAACCTGTATGTTAATCGATTTGTGGATCGAGTTCCAGGGTAATGGTTAGCCAGTGCAGTTGGTGAGTTGTCCGATCTTCTTGAACTATTCCTTGACACTGGGTCATGCAACTCGTTAACTTAGGGTGTGGTTATTGTGTTGGTAACAGCTTCTACACTTTAAACAAATTCATGACATGAGGGGCAACCATTATTATTATAATATGTATTTTAGTACAGCAGTCCCACCTAAGTTTAGTAACTGAATTAAACTGATACAAAAAATACTCAAAAGACCAGTTTAGATTTGTCATGAATAGAGTTACAGGTATTTTGAATGTTTTTTGTTTTTTATATTCTATATCTGTTCCTCCACTTTTGGCCTCTTATCATTTTGCAATTAGTGCGGGTATATTTGGCACTCTTATGTAAATAAAAAAAATTCCATTGGATATAAATTGGGTTGGTTATATCACAAAAATGAACAAGCCAGAGAAACTGTAAAAGTTGCCCTGCAGTTTAGATACTTATACAGTATTAATGTTTGTTAATGGTCATCAAATGTGTAATCCAGTGCAATTCAAAAAATGTGTTGAAGTTTCTGAGTAAAGATTTTTTTTCAGATTTTCAATCACTTTTATTTTTGGAATATTATATAATGAGGGACGTTTAAAAGTATTGTTAATATGATGTCTACAAAGTGGTATGTATGTAGTTATTTGATATGCCCAAGAAATAGGAATAGCAGTAGTGTTTTGGATTTGTATACTGACTTGGATCAATGGATCTCATATTTGTTTCAATACTTCCAAATGGTTAAAAAAAATTTAGATTTATTATTTGAAGCAAAATATTGTACAGTGACCCCTTGTTTAACGAACACCTCGGTTAACGTAATTTTGATTAACGAACTGCCTTCCATAAGGATCTTCAATTCGGTTAACGAAAAAAAATTCGGTTAACGAAGTTCTTACGAACCGACCTCAACATGTTTTCGCTTGCACTGACCGGGCAACCAGCTTTAGTATCAGTCCGCCAAAACATTAATCGGTTCTAGGGCTTAAATTCCTTACTATTTTAGTAAATATCAAGAAGTTTATACTACTCAATAATTTTAAAAGTTTAATATTCAATTTTTTAGCCATTTTAACAATTATTGAACATAATTGAAGGTAAAGTGACTACAGTAGTTTAATGCGTGGCATCCAGCCTCTTAACACAGCAAACAGGAGTTAGTCTCTCTCTGTTTTCACTGGACGTAACATCTTGCTTGAGACTCTCTTCAACTAAACGCTTTTTTTCTGTGTTTCCAAGCAAATTATTGGTCATTTTGAAATATATTTTACATATTGACAGTATATAATGCAGTGCAGTGTTGATTTAAAGAAAATAATCTTGAATTACACCAAGAGAGCTAAAATTTTATGGGTGAAATGGCGCCATGGGGTGACTTCTCTTCCACCCCAATGCCTTCTCTTCGTCCTTCTCCTCCACCCCCATTCTAATTCCCATCATCATCATCATCATCCAGGAGCCTTCTACATACACACCTCAAAGTTAGTGAACTTTTCTACCATTTTTTTTTAATTTAGGAAATTTTCGGTGAGCTGGAACCAATTACCCAAAAACCCATTGAAACAATGGTTTCGGTTAACGAACGACCTTCTGGAACGGAATGAGTTCGTTAACGGAGGGGTCACTGTACTTTTAAATTGATAAAATTTTATATACTGTATTGTTTATTGTATTGTACAGGTACGGAGATATTTTTGCCAGTGGAATTTCATTTTATTGTATTTTTTGTACTTTAAGTATTGTTTCAAGTTGTACTGTGATAGTATTTTGAACTTCCTTTTTTTCCTAATTAACGCAGGAAATAAAATATGAATTTTGTAAAATTTTCTTTCATTGAAAAATAACCTTGATAATGAAAAAATATGCTAAAGCAATTTCTTACACCAATCCAATAATGCTTCCATTTACCTTTACATTTCCTATACTTAAAAAAAAAAATTTATTCAGCAATTCACCTTGGGACATCATACACATTCACAGATCAAAACCATATACAGTACAGGGGATCCCCAGGTTATAAACAAGTTCCGTTCCCTAGGACGTTCTCAAGTCGGATTTGTAAATAAGTCGGAACACATGCTGTGTTTGCATACCGTACTTACAGAATAATGTTTAAATTCCCACTATATCATAGCTTAAGTCCCTATATACATCGAAAATCACTTGATTTTAAACAGATGAAGAAATAGAATGACAAAATACAGTAAATTAAAGATAAAAAATAAGTCATCGGAGAAATAAAATACTATAAATTTCAAGTTTAACCCCGTTTGTATCGGCGGGGGTCCATAAGTCAGACATTCGTAAGCCGGGGACCTCCTGTACTGTATTAAATACTACTTTGCTGTCACTCTGAATGAGTATGGCGATCATCCAGCTATGATACAATGATCCGAGGTATTAGGGATGTCACCTTCATTGGTGAGTTTTGAGGTGACTAAAAAGGTTGATACAGGACCTACAGAGTCATTCACAGATGTTACTCATGTGGAGGGTTACATCAAGTGAGGGGGAGAGGCTTGGCAGCATCTTTCTGGCGTTGGTGCTTGTCTGCCTCGGTTTACAGTAAGTGCTCCTCCAAGCGTTATGATGTGGAGTAATTGTCTCCCAGGTGAGGTGGTCGATTTGGCACTTTTTCAGGTTTGCCTCAGAATATCCTTATACCTTTTCAGTTGCCTGCCGGTATTACATTTACTATTTGTTAGGTGACTGTAAAGTAGCTGCTTTGGCAGTCTACTGTTGCCCATGATGTTCATGGGTAATGGTACCCTCGATGCTCCAACAGTTGGTGTCGGCAAAAATACTGGCATTTGTTTTCTTGTCTTCCTAGTGAACTCTGAGGATGGAAAGTAGACTAAGTTGGTGCCTCCTGTATGTGACCCATGTCTTGTTACCAGATAGTAGGGTGGGGAGGACCACTGCTCGATATACGTGTAACTTTGTAGATAACTGCAACTCCCTACAGCTGAAGACATGGTTTCGGAGTCTGCCAAAGGCTTGAGATGCACATCAGATCCGATGCTGAATCTCTTCATCGATGTCCATGGCAGTGGACAAGTGGGAGCCAAGATACAGAAAGTGGGTAACATTAGAGAGGTTAGTACCGTTAAGATGGTGGAGTGTCTGAACCGGGCAGGTTGAAAGAGAATCTGCGTAGGTGTTCTGGATCTCCTGTAGGTCGTGTTTAGTGTGAGCAACAAGGGTGAGGTCGTCTGCATATTGAAATTCAGTAATGGAAGCTGCCTACACCTTTGTTCTTGCCTGGAGTTGTCTTATGTTGAAAAGACCCTTCATTCGGTACTCGATGTCCACCCCGCCGGCTAAATTGGCACTGGCACGAGTAAGGAAGGCAGCCAAGAAAATGGAAAAGAGAGTTGTTGCCAGTACACACTCTTGTTTAACCCCTGTTTGGGTGGAGAAGAACTCAGACTGAGTGCCTTCTCATCTGCAGACCACCTTCAGCATTAATTATTATATTGTGCGGAACACATACAGCTCAACTCAGTCAAGAAGTTCTTAAATGCAGTATTTGGACAGCCTATAACTCAGGAACTCCTCCCTAAAGAGGTAAGCAAAAGGATTTTATCACTCAAAGAACAATATTCTTGGTAGCCTCACAGCATCAGCTTGATCTGTCAGTGTGCCTGCAGGAGTGCTATAATGTCAGACTCATGAAAAAACTTCCAGTAAGTATAATAAGTAAATTAACTTTATTGTTTACAAGCATGTTTATAGCTATGACTAAGAATTTCCTGGGTCTTTTCGGTTTTGTGTACGGTCTCCAAAATAATAAAAATAAGTGTTTTTGAATGTAGATTTTCCTATTGTTTCCATAATATAATCTTTTTGGGAGAAATTTTTATTGAAAAAGAATATTGATTATTATTATTGTCCGTCACGATGGTGACTTGATCAGAACATTAGCCGCATAATTTCAATGGTTAATTAAATACCGTAGGCGGTGCTTATCAGCTCCAAAAGGACCAATCACGTCTTCAGTGAAGGCTTTCTGTCTATCTAACAGCTTCTGGTGATGCCCCCCCCCCCCTGCAGATGCCCATGGCTATTATTTGCTCTGTGTCAACCTGCTGGGCATATGAGTGTACCCTGAGGGACAGGAGAGCTTCTATAACACTTCAGCGGTAAGTGTTGTTGTTGTTTTTTACACGGGGATTTGCCCACCCGGGCACAGGTCACTGACCCACATCAGGGCCTGGGGTGGGGGGACGGGGGTTATAAAATAATAACAATAAATAATTATTATAATTATAATCATAATAATTAAAAATAATAATGAGTAAAAATAATACCTGTAATAATAATAATAATAACGGTAAATAAATACAAAAATAAATCAAGAGAGAAACGATATATTGTATGTATGTTGAGTTGTCAATATTAAGAGAAACAAATGGGACCTGCAATTGTGTGCAATTGTGTAAATGAGGCAGAAAGTTAGATCAGCAACCTGGGACTTGATCAAAATTTTTGTGGTGCCATATGGCAGCAGAGTCTACCATTAGACAGATTATGCTTCCAATATCTTCCCAGGCGGTAGTAACTCCCTGTTTGATAGCTGCCTACTACCTACAAGCAGAAGTGTCAGGTTATTATATTATATAGACTGCCTTTATGTTTTAGAGTTCCCAAAATACATCGTGTGTAATATATTTGCCCCCACCCCTTGGCGGTGATGGTTAAATCTGTACCTTGTACAGTACTGTATTGTGATGTATCCACAGTAGTATTACATTGTTTTACGAAATAGGGCTGTGAGTTAAATAAAAGATCCCTATGAAATGTTATTTTTGCGTATATAGACTATACAAGTATACAATACAGCATGAATATAGACAATGAATGTAGTAGAGGACTTGGGTCCATTGACTACCATAATGTGGGAAAATGAAGGCGTCACTGATACCTACAGTAAACCTGTGTCTACCTCGCTGTTATAGAAAGAATTTTATCTCGTAGTTTTTTAATGATGTTGAAATGGTGTAAGTGCC